ATGAGAGTGAGAGAGTGAGAGGGAGAGGGAATGGGGAATGACTCGGTGTTACGAGAGGAGGCGTCCGTTGGATGAGGGTTTAACTAGGGGTAAGAAAGGAGGGAGAAGTTAAGGAGGAAAGAGGGAACATTGATTCTTTTTTTTTTTAAGAAAAATCTGAATTTGCGAGAAGGTAGTCATGGTGGTTATGGCCAAAATTGAAACCCTAGCTCACTTGGAAGAGAATAATGCAAAGAATACAATGGTGCAATTGGTTTTGGATGAAAAGATGTCTACCTAAAGATATTTCAATTTGAAGTGGCTAGGTGATTATGGCTAAAATTTTGCTAATTTGGTAGAGAAAATACAATAAATTCAAGGGTGAAATTGATTTTGACTTGAGAGGGCTCCATCTCAAGACAAGGTCAAGTTGAGGGTCTCATCCTATGAGAAAAAATTTGGTTGATTTTGAGTGGAAACTATTAGTGAGTTTTGATTAATTAAATTAAGTATTTTTAGCTTACATTTATTTTGGTTGAAGTTTAATTTTGATTTGAATTTATTTTAAGTGAACTAGTAGGATTATTATTTTTATCATCGAAATTAACATCCAAATTAGGGTAGGTTTCAACGGGCTCCCAAATAGAATCCGATTTAGGGACGGATGGATTAATTTGAAAGATTTTTGTGATCGAGAAGTACTCGCGCAGTTTATTTTGAAAAATAATGATTTGTTTAAAAATTTTTACATATGACCATTTTTCTTACATGAAAATCCAAAGTACAAAATTTTACATAAAAAAGATGTCTGATCATCATCAAATTGATTTGCATGTTTCTCATATATCATCGTGAACATCATACAACTAACTGAATAAAAATATAATCACAGGAATGGTCTGTAGAGAAAACGATAATTTCAGGGTGCCAGAAACTATAAGCTGAAGTGTAAAATTGTACATAAAATATGTTATAAAATCAGACAACTTTCAAAATAAAGTATCAAGCTCTACGATGATTTGTGGAGAAAATAATATTTTTGGTGTGCGTCTTCGTTAAAGTTGATTTTTTCATGTCAATTATAATAAGATTTAAATTAGTTATATTTGGCTTTATTTTGATTTTTTTTTATTTTAACTTTTATTTAGTTAGATTTTTATTTTAAGTTAAATTAGAGTTTAGCTTAAGTTTTAGGTTATGTTGTATAAACACGGCCACGGGACACGTCTATTATTGAAAATATAGAACACAGACATATAAGACATGTCGATATAATAAAAAAATTATTAAAATACATGTATATATTAAATAAATAAAAGAAAACAGTTAATAAAGGAAAAGAGATAATAACATTAACTTTAAAAAACTAAGATGCCCATAAATACATCTTAAGTTTATGGCATACAAAATGCAAGCATAAGAACATTTATTATATTGTAAAACGTCAAAATTTAGCTTCGTTGATCTATTAAAATTTTAGGGTGTTTACATACAGAGCACCGAATTCTTATGTATTTATATATCTTACACATAAAATTTGAGTTTTACATTTATGTCACTCAAACATTTCATATCAAATTTAAATATGTAAATCAAATCGAATGAAATACTTCTTTTTTATTTTTACATATGTAAGGTGGCATATATGAAAAAATTAAAATTTGATGTTAAATACGTAAATACATAATAATTGCGTGGAATGTATACAAATCATTTCGAAATTCTGCATTTTAAAAATTTAATTTTAAAAAATATTTTTTTAAAATTTATTTATTCATTAATTTAGGTACACATGTCCAACACGCGTCCCCATTTTTTTAATATTTGGACACATTTGTGCGGTGTCCGATACATGTCCCAACCATGTTGGAGAAGTGTTCATGTCTGATACGTGTCCGACACTGCATGGCTCCTTAATTAGGAGTGGCTGGTTTCAGCTCAAGTAGAGTACAAGTTATAGCTTATTCGAGTTCAATTCAGGCATCAGATAACAATATGAGGGATATCTTATGTCTAAGTGAAATTGAATATAAGCTAGGATAAATGATGATTGAAAAAAGAGGTCAACATCTTATCTTTAGTTAGGGTTTTTCATTAGAAGACTGTATGTGTTTTTTTTTTTTGGATCTTAATATATGTTTCTACTATAAGGAATATTGTATCATCTTTCTTTTGTAAGTGGTGTATATGTATCTTACTCAAGAATAGGTGGTGAAACCTCCTCGCCTCATGTACCTCATAACTTTGGAGCTCGTTTTGCTATTTTTAGTCAGGATAGTTGCCAACCTATGCTTATCCTCATCCAAACACTATCGAACTCACATATTGTCTTTCTGTTACCATTCCACAACCATCTCCCGACAAAACTTGTTTCTTGAACATCTTATAGAAGCCTTAGAACAATATCATCTGGTATCATTGCCCGACGAACACTAAAACTTTGGGGATTTTTCATTCCTACGTCTACCCAAAATTTAACATAACCCAAACCATCACTCAAGTAAATACTCTCACCATCCTTAACATAATTCTAACCCTAAACCTAAAATTTTCAAAGCCCAACCTTTCTACCTCGTAAAATTTACCCCAGCACCTACCCCGAAAATCTAAGCCTTGACCAACCTTTAATTTGCAATTCTACGTCTGACGACTAATTTATGGAGAAAAGAGCGTCATGTCGCCAAAAAGAAACCCCTCAACAAAGTGTCCATATACTTACCATGAAGAATATGTAGCGAGAAATCCTCCAGCTACAATAGAGGCTTGTCACCCTTAAGATGAGAATACCTAATGAGGTCACCCATAACTATGGGTGTAAATGAACCGAACACGAGCACATGTTCATGTTTGGTCCGTTGCAAATTAAGTGTGTTTGAAATAGACTTGTGTTTGGAATTATTCGTGAAGTTACTCTTCGTGTTCAGTTTGATTAGTTTAAAATATGTTTAAAATATTTGAATTGTTCGAAATCTTATAAATTTGTTTGTATTGTTCGAATTGTCTGAATTGTTCGAAATCTTTCAAAAACTTAAACTTTAATGAAATTAATGCTTGAACTTATATGAATCATAGCACAACTGCACAATAGCCGAAGCACAACTCATAACAAAAACCATAATATCAGATCTCATCCATATAAAATTCAGATTTAGAGACAATATGCGAGATTACACTTCTAATAACTTCAAAAACTAGGTTTCACTCAAAAAAATTAAATAAATCTAAAATAAATATAAGAAAATTTAAACTAAGAGGCGAACCTGAAGATAAATATGAAATTGTAGGATTTAATATAAGCTAAGAGACGAACCTAAAGATCATATTATAATTTATAGAATTTTATTTTTTAAAAAATGATAAATTTATAGAGCTATATATTTTTTTTTAAATTATGATAAATTATTTTAAATTATTTTATATTTCGAACAATAACGATTAGAACACAATTGAACAAATGATTGTTTGTGTTTGGTTCGTTTATAAACCGAACGAAAAAAACTATTCGTGTTCATTCATTTTGCTTGTTGAATGAATCAAACATGAACTCTCTGGTGAGTCGAACATGAACTGTTCGCAAACAATGAGCTTTTTTGACTGCCCTACCCATAACTATAGTTGTGGCTCACCAAATCGAGAGGAGAAGATGAATTTGTTTTATTAGAAATTTCCAAGTGACGAAGAACTAAAACCCCGATGATTTGACATTGAATATCCGGGAAAAGACCAGGATCTAAGAGTAAATGTGTATTTAACAAATTTTAAAGGCGCATGAATCCATAGAAACTTATCGAGTGATTCCAAACTGTGTCATGATTTTCTTAGTAGAAAGAGGCTCCCCAAGACGAGAGTTAAATTGACAACTATCAAGCTCAAGAGGAACATTTATTTGTGGTGGGAGAACCTAATACGTATTTGACAATGGGAAGGGAAGGATGAGATCACCTCATAGTCTAAGATGAAAATGAAGATGCAGCGCAAATATCTTTCCCTGCATTATCAACAGGATATGAACATAAAACTCCACCACCTGTGTTAGAGAGATTCTTTTGTGAAGAAGTACACAATCGAATTTGATCAACTCATGCTGCAATGTGAGTTGGTGGAGCCAGAGAAACATACAGTAGTGATGTATCATAGAGGACCGAGTTGTCCAATAGTAATGTAGTGCATTAGCAGTCGTATTGTTCCACTTAATGTACAAACCCTAACTTTAAAAATAGAAAAACAACAATATTATGAAGTGACACCCCAACCTTATAGACAGAGTTCAATCACAAGATTAGGCAACAAAAGTACACCTAATAGAGCACCCAAGCTGACCCCGCCTAAGGAAAAACTAGTTCAGAGTGGAGAAAGATGGAGGCAACCAACACTCAAATTTGTCCCAACAAAGAAGTATATTTAAGTGCCATGATTTTGATCACATTGTGTCTAATTGCCTAAACAAAAGGGTGATATCTTTCACTTAGCAGAGTGCAGCGGGAGAGGCAGAGGATGTCTACGTCATTCTTCCCGGTTAGAAGAGGTGTGATCACGGCAAGGAATTAAGCGTAGAATTTTGCATTTTTTTCTTTCTCTTTCTTTCCTTCTCTAATTTTTTTCTTATCTCTTTACCTCTAATTAGGGTATTTCCTATTAGAGAATATTTATATTTGTTTATTTTTAAGGGGCTTTTTCTTTGATTTTAGTATTTTCAATTATAATCTCTATTTCTACTACAAGGAAAATTTGTATCATCATTCTTTTGCAAGTGGTGTATTAATATCTTGCTCAGAAACAGTGGTGGAACCTCCTTGTTGCACGTACCTCTTTGTTTCAGAACTCACTATGTTTTTTTTTTCAAGGAGTCCTGTCATCTTCCTCACTAAATATATATTCTCAATAAAAGAAATTTCAGGATATTGAAAGAACTTCATTTCTAAATGAAAGTTTTTCCTTAAATCGTGGTTTCAAAAGAGAAAATTTTCCTCTCCACTTATTTTAACATATAGTACATAGATGTGATAGAAATTAAACTTTACCTGACTCATTTCACATCTCATGCGGTTTATCCTATCAGCATTCGGATCACTCGAGTAATAGTTCATTTGTTGACTTAAGACTCTTGAAAATTCATCATTCATGGCATAAGCAAGTGCTGAATGACAAGCACGACCATAAGCCTTTATGAATCTTCCATGAATGTTTTCAAGAAATAAGAAGGGAATTCTTCCTGCACAAGCATTCCAAAAGCTAGCATTCAATTAGACTATATTGTTTACAAACGCTATAAATGCATGACTTATTCAAGCAGAAATTGCCTTCATCTTCATTTTTGAATAACTTAAAATTTTATGAAGGAATATTTTTCAGACAAATCAAATATAAAATCTTTTTTTTTAATGAACAACCTTGTGAAAAGTTATAAACAAAAATGGCCGCTGACAATTTTAAAAAAAAAAAAAAAAAAAAAAGTTAAACAGTTGCAATTGACAAGCTACACTTTTTTTAATGATATATCAACTCAAGAACACATACGACTTACTCCTAAAGACAATAATAGATCATAAGAATATCCTTAAGCTTATTTAAGTTGCATGTCAAGATCTATGTTGATAAGGTCAGGCACACTGCCAATGTTCTACTAAAACAAGGGATATCAGATGATACTGAATCAAGATGTGCTTCTATTAAGAATTTAATTAGCATCCATATTCCACTAATTTCAGATAAGGTTTTCAATTAACTAAAATACAATTAGAAAGCATCAAATTCAAGCTATAATCAATACTGCTCTGATAAAATAAGTATGTAGATGTTAAACATTCATATAACATTTTAATCAGGAATAATAATTCCAAAGATCACATAAAAGTTTCTTTATTAGAAGGAAAAAAACTAAAAAATGTAGTAACTTCTGTAGAAACAACTTTAAGCTGATATAAATCATAACAAGCATGATGACCTCTTTGCAATGTTCGTTAAAAACTACATAATTTAATGAGTACTATAACTGTATTGCTTTTGAAATGAATGGGAAAATATACAACAAGCAAAACTTGAAATACAATCAGCAAGCATTATAAACCAAGGTATATGAACCAAAACCTGAAAGAAATTGAATTTTCCATCCGCAAATTTAGTTCCACGAAAAAATTCACTCCGACCAGCCCAATATCCCGACTTAAGGAAGTTACGAATAGTTTCAACTTATGTAAAGAAAGCTTGACAATGGCATCAGTCAACACAATACACCCCAGAAACTGATCACTATCTACGCAAATCAAGGCTCGAATGGCTAATTATAAAAACTTTAAACGAAAGAATTAAACGAGTCCTTGAATTATCAAATAAAAGGGAAACAGTGAAGTCATTGTGCAGAAACGAAAATAGGCGAATCGATGCGGCTGAAAAACAGCGAAGGGGAAAGCCGAAATAGTACTCACTTCCGGCGGTTTCCTCAGCCATACAGAGGACTGTGATGCCATCGGTTCGCTTAACATGGAAGATGTAGCGATCCTGCGAGTAAGAGACGTTGCTGTCTTGGGTACCAGTGATCTTCTCCAGGATTTGCCTCGCAATCGCGCTACCGTTCGTATGTGTCGAGCTGAACTCAGCCAGAACCACAGATCCCCGCGCCACCAGAGCAAAAAGGATCGCCATGCCGGAACGGGAAAAAGAACGTGGGCAGCAAAAGGTCCCGGGTTTAACAGGGGAGCCGGCAACTGCCTACATATTACACAATTTTGTTGTATTTATATTTTTAACTGCGATAATTTAGTATTTATATTTATAACACTTTTATGTCATAAATCTTCACATAAACATTTGTATTTCATTTTTAAAATGAAAATATTAATGATATTTATATAATAATTGTAATTGAAGTTATTTATATTTTTAGAGAAATATATCTCATAGATTATTTAAATTAAAATTTTCTAAGTTATTATAAGTAGTAGTCCAAGCTCTTTCACTATTATATGAATGTCCAACCATAGGAGCTCTTTGACACCACCTCTTCACAACAATTTCTCTATAATTAACAATTCTTGAGCTTAAGTGTTTGAACTACAATAGAATTTCATTCAATGATTTCTCCATTCTCCATTCATTAATTGTTTAAGTTTAACTATTATAGCTATTTTGCTTTGAATATTTTGTGTAATCTATAATATTATTAGTCATCAAAATATCAATTATGAACTTATTATAGCCATCATCAAATCATTTTTCATCATCTTCAAATCATGGCACACCATATTCAAATATGATTGAAATGTAGTTTAATTATGATCAAATAATCTTTTGAATCATAATCAAACTATCACTTAATCATGATTGAATCTTCTTGAGAACAATTGTATTGTCTTAGAACCATATTCGAACCTAAGGTAAACAATCAAATAAAATTTGATCAAAGTTGAATAATGATCAAATCATCTTCGAATCATGATTTAATCATCTTGACAATGATTCCTTTTTTAAAAAACCATATTCAAACATTGTGGACATTCAAACAAAAAAGTTGAATAATGATCAAATCATCTTCTAATCATGATTTAATCATCTTGACAATGATTGCTTTTTTTTAAACCATATTCAAACATTGTGGACATTCAAACAAAATTGGATCTTGATTTAAATATGATTTGAAGAGGATCAATCATGTTTGGAGACATTTTGATTATAATTTGAAGCAATTTTATTCTTTTTTTGCCTTCATTATCTTTTTAGAATTAACTCATTTAAGTTATTTGCTATTTTTTTGAGTAGTTGTTTTAGTTATAATTAAAGGGAGTTAGTACTATAAATCACCTATTGAGTTGGTTGTGTGCTAGAAAAATTTGTCAATCAATTTAAAGCTAAAGATCATATAATGTTGAAGCTCTCTCTTAAGTCAATTTACTAGATGTCTCAAACTACAATTTTATGACCCTCATTCCTCACTTACTATTTAGGATAGTTATTGGTGGGATTTTTTTTATTGTGGGGCCACCGTAAATCTCGATAGAGTTCTATCTAAATGATCAGATACGACATTTTAAGAATAATACACCATCTCAAAAAATAAAACTATTATCTTAGAATGTATCTAATCATTCGGATGAAAAAAAATCTTTGAGATTTATGGATCTGCAGAATGATACCCTTCCTGGTTCAAGTGCACTTGCACACTGGGGTTTCACGTAAATATATGTGTCATATCAGTAATATCAAATTAATGAGTTCGGAATATCAATCCCATGGGGATCGAGGCAGTTGAAGTCTTAAGAAAAGTTCTAGCTTACTAAAAAGTGTCTTAGTATGTAACTGTAAGTAAAGTTGGTTTTAAGTGTTGCTAACTAATTCTATAGAATTACTACCTAAAATTTAAAATTTATTCCTATAGAAATCCTACTAATTATATTTAGAGTGGTGAAAATCAAGATATAAAAACTACCATCCCTTGCAATGACATTTGTAGTGTATGGAAAACCAATAGTTGAAATTGTGATTATAGCTTGTGACAAATATGAGCAATTTTCTACTTTACCCTCTCTAAATTGCATAAAGAAGCTTGGTTAAACTGATTTTAACTCCTTAAACCCCAATTTGAACCCATCAAAGACTATTTCCTTATATGTTTTCATCTTCCTATAGTTTACTTTTGTTCCATAACCTATAGTTCAATGTGAATATTCTAATTTTTCTTCTATAACTCTCCCAAGTCATCATAGATCACAACATGTGTTAACTAATCATTTGTCCAATAGGATAAACATTCTTTTTGGTGTCCCAAATACTCCTGGTTGGGATTTTGAGCAGTTTTTGGCCCTTGGTTACCAAGATATCATAGCTTCCTCAGTGATGACACATTTTAGTGGAAGGTTCAGTCTAGGGAAGAGTGGGATGTACTTGTGAATTTCTCTCTGACTAACCCGATGTCCCTCTCCTGGGATTACTTCTTTGTTGCTTGTCTTCTCCAACCACTAGTCTCGCTAACGTAACTAAGTATTTGGTAATCTTGAAAATTTAAAATCTGATGTGGTTTTCCATATATATAGTAGTCATTTTTAATCAATTCATTGCACACATTTTGCTAGTGGCCAGACCACTGTGACACCTCTATATTATCACTGCTCTATGTTAGCGAGAGGGGGTAGCTGGAGGGAGTGAGGATGAGATGCTAGCATTGTGATCCCGACTTACTACTTATATGCAACAGTATAACAATGTCTCTGATTATATTTCCACTTATATTTTCTTACTTTGTAACAGAGTCCAAATTTGATCCTGAAGCAAATAGGAATTTAACTCTTTAATTTATATATTGGGATACTACATACATACACATATCATTATCAAATAATATAGGATCTTTTGATTAAGACCTGGATATCGAACCCACAAGGAAATACACAATATGCTCTATTGAACGACAAATTTTTTATTTTAAAAAGACAATTAATTAAACTAAAGATGTATTCGCAGTAATTAAAATTAAAATCTTTTTGGTATTTTTGATATTTTAACAAAACAGTAACAATTTAAAGAGTTAACTTGAGGTTATGTAAAAGAAAAACACTGAATTTGAAAATATATTTCTCCTTATCATGAACCAGTAATAAGCATAGAAATTCTGTTTTGGTAGTATGCAAATTGTGTTGTGCCAAGTATGAGCAATTATATTATTTACCCTTACTAAAGATGCTATAAAGAACATTAGCTAATTTAAAGTTTGAATAGTTCTGAAGACCAGCTAGGCAGGGAAGATATCAACTCTCACTCTAGAGTTCCCTCGATTCCCTCCACCTGGGGGCTAACATCTCGTATCAGAACCTAAGAAAATAAACAAAGTTGGGGGGCTTTAACCTGTCACTTTAAAGCCCTCTAACTCTACACCCTTCAATAAATATTTCATTATTTATTTGCACTCAATCGTATGATCTACATTCTCATCCATACAACCTCATGTGATTCTTTCCAATTGTTGATTCAGCCTCAAATACCTGCTACATTATGGAGGAATGTTATGGGCCTTACATCACTCCTTAAGGGATAGACAGACTGACTGGATCAAGAAGGAATGTTGAGGGCCTTACATCACTTCTGAGCACTAGTCTGAATGATCAATTTAGGAAGGCGAGCCAAGAGAATCGAGTCCAACCCATGAAGTGATTGTGATACGACCTCAAATGTCAATACTGCATTAATGAGGAATATCACGAGCCTTACATCGCTCTTCAATAAGTTGGTAGGTTTGCTAGGAAGCCACCTGCTACTTTAATGAGGAAAGCCAAGTGGCCTTAGATTGCTATTTAACAGGTAAACATGTTGATTAGACCAAGAAGGAAATTCAAGCGACTTGTATTATTTTTGCACACTTTTTGGGGTGATTAGCTTAGGGAGGAGAGCCAAGGGACTCCAATCCAACCAATAAATTAATTGAGGCACAAAACCTCAGAGGAATACAACATTAAAGAGAAAAAAATTTTCTCAAGTGTAAATTGTGATAAATAAGTAAGAATAACATATAAAATGTAGAGAAAAACATAGGTAAAATCACTTAAATTAAACGCATGTCAGTCATCGTCGCTGCCACCATAGCCCGTCACCTACCATTACAAGCCACCCTCGTCTGTTGCCGCCCTGCCCACTACCCAGAGCCACAACCCCTACAAGTGTCATGAGTTAACTTGATGTTATGTAAAAAAAACACTTAATTTGAAAATATCTTTCCCCTTATCATGAATCAGTAATAAGCATAGGAATTCTGTTGTGGTAGTATGCAAATTGTGTTGTGGCAAATATGAGCAATTATATTCTTTACCCTTACTAGAGATGCTATAAAGAACATTAGCTAATTTAAAGTTTGAATAGTTCTGAAGACCAGCTAGACATGGAAGATATCAACTCTCACTCTAGAGTTCCCTCGATTCCCTCCACCTGAGTGCTAACATCTCGTATCAGAACCTAAAATAATAAACCATGTTGGGGGCTTTAACCTGTCACTTTAAAGTCCTCTTACTCTAAACCCTTCAATGAATATTTTTTTATTTATTTTCACTCAATCATATGAACTACATTCTCAATCATACAACCTCATGTGATTCTTTCCAATTATTGACTGAGACAATACCAGCCTGGCTCTTACATTTTCTCACAACAAATTTTAACATCTAGATTGGCCAAATCAAGAGGTAAATGAAGCACATGGATTTTGATCATCACAACTTCTTCCAACATTAAAGATCAATACTCTCCACAACTACTTTCCAACACTTAATTAATTATCTTTTTAAGAAGAAAGATAAAGAAAACTACTCAGAATCCATGGAGAAAATAAAACCAAACTTTAGTTTAAAAGTAGAACTCATTATCAAACCAAGAACAAGTCTCAATTAAAACAAAAAGTTGTTTAAAACAAAAGATAAAAACTTATCTCAAATCCTCCACCAAACTCTTGAAGTTC